CACAAGGCGGTAGCGGTTATTAGCGGAAAACCGCCGGAAGACCGCAAATTAAGTAGCAGGAAGCGCGCAATTGACAGGTGACCGCGGCTCGGCTGGATATTTTGCGGCCGCTATCTTTGCCGACCGTTAGTCGGAGGATAGCCTAGTTATTTATAGGGCTGTACCGAATATTCGCTTCGGTGCCGAATAGTGGACCTAATAACTATTCGGCATTCGGCCGAATAGTTGCGGTCGGGCCGAAAACGAATAGTGGTTACCTATGACCATATCGTTATTGCGTAGATGTCCGACTTTTACTCCCGTGCCAAGTAGGCTGACATCTTCCTCTTCTTCTTCTTCTTCTTCTGCGTTCGACATCAGTCATGCTAAACATTGAGTCCCGTCTGGGTCACAAATAGGATTGTGCGTTTAAGGTCGCCACCGGTCCACCATAGCTTTTCTTTTAATGTAGCTCCCTAGGGCCAGATCCACAGTCTTTGCTGGGAAGTAAGGGCAGTACTGTAGTATGTGCCCAGGGGTCTGTCTTTCTGCTCCACAATCACAATCTTCCGACTTCGACCTTACCTCTCACAGCAGAGACTGCGGGACTGGCCCAATGGAGCCACATTGCGAGAGAAGCTATGGGGGACCGGTGGCGACCTTAAACGCACAATCCTATTTGTGACCTAAACGGGACTCATTGTTTAGCATGACTGATGTCGAACGCAGAAGAAGAAGAACACTCGTTCCTGGACTGGTAGAAATTTAACATATCAAGATTTCCCACCTTGTTTCATACTGTCCAGCGTTATCTCTGTGCACCAACTACGAGCGTACCAAGTCAACGTCTGTTTAGTAAATCTGGAAATACCTTCAGTGGGGCAAGACAACATGGAACGATTTTTTGGGGTATGGAAAGCTAATGCCGCTTTCATGGATTAACTAAGCTGTCAGGTACAATTTACAGGTTTAGTTACTTGTTATAAAATTAAGAATACTTTCCACTTCTATGTATTAATTACCACAGACTGACTGGCTGAAGAAT